ATGTCAAGAATCATGTATGTATGTCGGAGTGTGGTTCAGTTCGACACTGGGGCTAATTTCTATCGATCATTCGCAGTTGATTCTTCTCTCCGACTTGAGTTGTATTTCTTCTTCTTCTTCTGTTTAGACTGGTAGATTTCTTGTTTTCAACCAGTGGAAGATTTCTTGCTTCGATTCAGTGGAAGATTTCTTGCTTCGATTCAGTGGAAGATTTCTTGCTTCGATTCAGTGGAAGATTTCTTGCTTCAATTCGGTGGAAGATTTCTTGTCTTCAACTTGGGCTGGAAGGATTTCTTGTTTTCGAGGATTCTTCTGTCGTCCGAGGGTGAACTTCAACTCACGCCCAACCTAACTCCAACTTCAACTCAACTTCAGCTCAACTTCAGCTCCAACTCTTCTCAGGTTTTCAGGCAATCTTCTTCTTCATCTACTTGGGCTGGAAGTTCTTCTGTCTTCGACTTGGGCTGGAAGTCCTTCTGTCTGAGGGTTCTTTTTTGCCCGCAAAGGGGGCGAGTGAATCGGGTCTTATGTCCGCGTTCAGGATCTTCCCTGCCCGCGGTCCTGCTGCAACTCAGCCCAACTCCGGCTGCATCTCCAACTCAAACTGATTTCTGTCGATCTGGGGTCCTGCTTATATTGACGCCGCAACAAACTGGGGTGGGTCTGTCGGCGTCAGGGTTTTCTCGATAATTTCAAAAGTCGTATTAATTTTGACTTTCCATTATCGTTATTGTTTTCACCCCTACTTTCTCACAGTGCTCTTGGTGGGGCGGCGCATATCTATTTCTCTTAGTCTCTCTCATGTCAGGTGATCGCTCTCAACCAATCGTTCCCCGATCGAACCTTTCTTTCTCTTCTTTTCCGCAGCCCACGTGACCGCCTCGTCCAAAGTTATTGATCGAGGTTTTCTTTCCTTCTTCTTCCGCGGTCACGTGATTGTATTCGACCAATTGTTATTGACCGAACACCCTCTCCCTTTTGTTGGCGGGTGTGGTTACCTCGTGCTGGTTTTAAAAAAAAAAAAAATCCGATTTCGCACCTTTTTTGCGTACGCAAAATGACAATCTTTAGCTTTCTTTCACCTGGACTTTGTCAAACAGCCCGCTGCTAATTAGTCTTGACTTTAGAAAAGGTTCTTTTCCGCCTTCTTGGCGCCCTCTGTGAGCCAAAAACAATTGTCCCTCTTTTTTTTACTTCTTTGTTTTACCTGATAGTCGAAAATCTTAATTATCTAGGTCGAAATATCTCTACTTTCTTAACGTGGGTGTCCAATTCTTAACAGGTCAATTCCGTATATCGTTTCACTGGTCACTCCCCTCAACCCAAAGACACTTTCTCTCAGATCCAAAATTTCGTTTCTATTGTTCAAAAGAAAAAAAAAATAAAAATTTCTCTTCACCTCCAAATTGATAAGGAGTTTTCCACGCAAGAGTCGGTCAGAGGCCTCTGACCGACATCTGGTCGATATCATGTCTTTTTCCTTTCTTTCTCTTTTATTATTTCCAATTCTATTCTTCCTTTGTTTTTAAAAAAAAAAAAGTCGACCACACGCAGACCTATCTCTACCATCAACTGGGTCATCATACATTTCTCTCTTTCTTTCTTTTCTTCCCTTCCTTCCTTTTTTCTTTTCTTTCCTTCTTCTTTCCTTAGGATCGTCTAGTACATTCTTAGTGAATTATTTTCAACTCAGTTATTTTCCGTTTTTAAAAAAATTAACAACCTGTTTAATAAACTGAATAAGAAAAAAAAAATTAACTCATATTTCTATGAATATTTCCAATAAATGCAAGGTGCCATATATATATATATATATATATATATATATAATAAAACTGTTTTTACAAGGTTTATCTTGCCCAGGAAAAGAAAAAAAAATGGTACTCAATATACAGTTCAAAAGAATCGAAAGAATAGCTAAATAAGATCTAGAATATTACAAACACTAACTTATACCGCAGTTTCTCCTAATGACCGTTTTCTCTGTCCGAGGAAGTCTTCATTGGTAGAAATCGCGGTAGCGAAAAAGGTTTGTGTTTGTAATACATATGTAAGTCTATTTATATCTATCTCAAATTTTCTAACTCTATTCATATTTCTAAGTCTATTCATATTTATCTGTTTAGTGTTTATCGTAGTCTATTCATGTCTTAGTTTCAGGTTGTTACTTAGTAATTATCTGTCTATCACAGTTTGTTAATAATATCTATCAATTTGTCTCACATAGTCAGTTCATGTCTATCGATCTGTCTGCCTCTGCTTATATCTATCTCGCTGTTTTTGTTCATGCTTATCTATCTATTTCATTCAGCCTCACCGTATCTATCTATGTCTGTTTATATCTCAGTCTGTTCTTATCTATCTATCTATCTATCTATCTATCTATCTATCTATCTATTTGTCTCAGTCTCTTCATATCTATCTATCTATTTGTCTCAATCTCTTCATATCTATCTATCCATCTATCTCAGTTTCTTCATATCTATCTATCTATCTATCTATCTATCTATTTGTCTCAGTCTCTTCATATCTATCTATCTATTTGTCTCAATCTCTTCATATCTATCTATCCATCTATCTCAGTCTCTTCATATCTATCTATCTATCTATCTATCTATCTATCTATTTGTCTCAGTCTCTTCATATCTATCTATCTATTTGTCTCAATCTCTTCATATCTATCTATCCATCTATCTCAGTCTCTTCATATCTATCTATCTATCTATCTATCTATCTATCTATTTGTCTCAGTCTCTTCACATCTATCTATTTGTCTCAATCTCTTCATATCTATCTATCCATCTATCTCAGTTTCTTCATATCTATCTATCTATCTATCTATCTATCATATCCATCTATCTATCCATTTGTCTCAGTCTCTTCATATCTATCTATCTATTTGTCTCAATCTCTTCATATCTATCTATCCATCTATCTCAGTCTCTTCATATCTATCTATCTATCTATCTATCTATCTATCTATCTATCTATCCATCTATCTATCTATTTGTCTCAGTCTCTTCATATCTATCTATTTGTCCCAATCTCTTCATATCTATCTATCCATCTATTCAGTTTCTTCATATCTATCTATCTATCTATCTATCTATCTATCTATCTATCTATCTATTTGTCTCAGTCTCTTCTTATCTATCTATCTATTTGTCTCAATCTCTTCATATCTATCTATCCATCTATCTCAGTCTCTTCATATCTATCTATCTATCTATCTATCTATCTATCTATCTATCTATTTGTCTCAGTCTCTTCATATCTATCTATCTATTTGTCTCAATCTCTTCATATCTATCTATCCATCTATCTCAGTCTCTTCATATCTATCTATCTATCTATCTATCTATCTATCTATCTATCTATCTATCTATCTATTTGTCTCAGTCTCTTCATATCTATCTATCTATTTGTCTCAATCTCTTCATATCTATCTATCCATCTATCTCAGTCCTCTTCATATCATCTATCTATCTATCATCTATCTATCTATCTATCTATTTGTCTCAGTCTCTTCATATCTATCTATCTATTTGTCTCAATCTCTTCATATCTATCTATCCATCTATCTCAGTCTCTTCATATCTATCTATCTATCTATCTATCTATCTATCTATCTATCTATCTATTTGTCTCAGTCTCTTCATATCTATCTATCTATTTGTCTCAATCTCTTCATATCTATCTATCCATCTATCTCAGTCTCTTCATATCTATCTATCTATCTATCTATCTATCTATCATTTGTCTCAGTCTCTTCATCTATCTATCTATTTGTCTCAATCTCTTCATCTATCTATCCATCTATCTCAGTCTCTTCATATCATTCATCTATCTATCTATCTATCTATCTATTTGTCCTTAGTCTCTTCATATCTATCTATCTATTTGTCTCAATCTCTTCATATCTATCTATCCATCTATCTCAGTTTCTTCATATCTATCTATCTATCTATCTATCTATCTATCTATCTATTTGTCTCAGTCTCTTCATATCTATCTATCTATTTGTCTCAATCTCTTCATATCTATCTATCCATCTATCTCAGTCTCTTCATATCTATCTATCTATCTATCTATCTATCTATTTGTCTCAGTCTCTTCATATCTATCTATCCATCTGTCTCAGTCTCTTCATATCTATCTCCCTATCTATCTATGTTTATACTTATCTACCTATCTCTCTTTATCTGTCTATGTTTATATCCATATATTTCTCAGTCTATTCACACTATTCTAAATCCTTCTTTTTCTTCTTCTTCTTCCCCTCCCTCCTATAGAAACTGGCTCAGTGATATTTCGGCACCCTAGCGACAACAAATGACCCACCATTCACTAATGAATTAAATTCATTCATCCTCCCCTCTTTATTTATTCACCTCTCCCTCCTCCACCCTCTAACTAGCTCCTATTGTTTTCTGCCTCTTTCCTCTGCTCTTCAAAACTAACTCCCCGCACCTCCTTTTTATCTTAAGGGAAATATGAAACAACTTTTTCGCTTGTGCTAACAAACATTTTCTCATCTTTAGAGAAGTGGTTCTCAAACTTTTGGCAATTGACAGTCAGTCAGTTATGTGCCATGCGTGATACACACTTAGTGATCATGTATCTTTCGATACATGACTGACGAGGCAGATTTTTCCCGCAGTAGTTTGCCATTTTTTTTCTGCGGTAGACCAGGTGCCATCCAAGGCTAAAGAACCCGGTCTATCCTACTATTCAACAATAGCAGGGGGCGGGGAGAAGAGGATTCATACCTATCCCAGGGTTATTAGCACGTAAGTGAATGTAATGGATTCGACTGGAATTCGAACTCGGCTCTCCGATTCCTCAATCCAGAGTATTTTCAGTTGAGTAACGAAGTCATAGATTAAGAAAATCGCTTCAGAAGTCTTCGCTGCTTGGCACTGCAAATATTCTGCAAAAGTCTCTCTCTCTCTCTCTCTCTCTCTCTCTCTCTCTCTCTCTCTCTCTCTGAGGTCGTCTAACTTTATGGAGAGAACTAATAATGCAAGATCTTCGGTTGGAAATGAAAAACCGTGCGAGATAATAATACAATTAGATATAAGACCCATCACTTAAACGGTAAAGAGATGAAAGTAGAAATAAGTTATATGACAGAGGATGAGGTAAAAACAAATGAAATACAAAATAACCTCCCGGGAAATAAAATCGAACAATCTACCTGTGACATAGACTGCTGTTATCCAGACGATGTCACTGAAGATGACTCCAGCTACATTAAGTTGGATTTACTTGAAAACCACAGAGCTGAAATCACCGAAGCGAAAAACCCCGTCATTCAAGTACTCAGCAGAGTAACCCTCACACGATTGTCAGACAGAGACCAGCTCCCCAAAAGTCATGACGAAGTCCAATAAGCACATTGTGCAAATATACAACGCTGCTCTGGAAACACTGTTAACGAATAAACCACTGGGAAATATCACAACGTTACATACGCAACAGCTTCAGCAGCTGCTGGGAAGTTTGGGATCAAGACAATTAAAAATAATAGCAGATATAGAGAGACATCTTGGAAGGCAAAACTGATGTGAAAAATAAAGGAAATCAGTTGTGAGCTTTTTATATTAGATGAGCCTCACTTGAAATCCAAATATTTCCACGCGCAAATGCAAGATCAAGCGGAAATATAAAATTAAATCCCTAATTGAAATTCCATCAATCAAGGAAATGCTGAAACAGAAACTTCAGTTAAAGGCACAGAGAACAAGACAATACGACAAACGGTGCAGGTTCTAGCGTCAAAATAAAATATTCCAAACGGACCTTATGATATTTTACAAGGAATTTAGAAAAACACTTATACATGTCCGAAAGCCACCATCTATAGACAATGTGCAAACATTTTGGGAGAATATATAGAGCAGCCCAAAGGAATATAACACAAATGCAGAATGGATCCAACGTGAAAAAGAACGAATGCTGGATACGCCTATGCAAGAATGGGAAAATATAACCACAAATAATGTTAGGCAAGCTCTAACGAAATCCCTAAAATGGAAATTCCCAGGAAATGACAAGTTGCCCAATTTCTGGCTCTATCATCTCTCTTCAATTCATAAAATCGTAGCAAAAACTCTATCAACGCTTGTAAATAATCTCAATGAAATCCTGGATTGAATTACTGAAGGTATTACATATCTCTTGACAAAAACGAGTGAAACAGATGAAAAAATTATAGGCCAATAACATGTCTCTCCACCACGTATAAGTTGATCACGTCTGTCCAGACGAACCGAACTTACTCTTTTTTCGAAGCAAACAAGATTCTTTCACTGGAACAGAAGGGATGCAGGAGAGGTTCATATGTCTGCAAAGATCAACTACTGATAAACAAAATAATCCTGGAAAATTGCAGGAGAATTTGTAGACATCTTAGCGCAGCGTGGATTGATTATCATAAAGCCTTTGATACTTTTGGATCCTTAAGACTTTGGAAATGTACAAAGTTTCCCTTGTGGTAGTAAATTTCCTTAAACACGGCATGGGAATGTGAAACACCACACTATGCCTAAATCACACCAGAGGCACTGCCATCTCCAACCTTTCAAGGAGACTCCCCTCTCACTCCTTCTGTTTTGTTTGTCCTTAATCCCCCTTACGCATGAACTAAACAACAGTAGCTATGGTTACAAACTAGACAAAAAAATATTCAATCACCTTCTCTACATGGATGATCTCAAACTCTTTGCCAAAAACGACAATGAGTTGAAGAGCCTCCTCAATATTGTAAAATGTTTCAGTGATGACATAGGCATGGACTTCGGATTAGATAAACGTGCAAAAGTAACATTCAAAAAAGAGAGAGTTATAGAAACACCCTCAATAGATTTAGACTTTGTCACAAAGATTAGGGAACTGGAACAAGATTAGGCCTATAAGTACCTAGGAATTAGCGAAGGAGACGGTATACAACATACCCAAATGAAGGAGAATGTAAGAAAGGAGTACTACAGGCGTGTGCCTCTGGTACGAAATACCGAGCTGAACTAAAAAAAAAAACCCAGAATATCAGCCATAAACACCTTGGCTGTCCCGGTGGTGCAATACAGCTTTAACATCCTTAATTAGACCATAGCTGACATTAAGCAAATGGACGCCAAAACGAGAAAGCTTCTCACTTGCCCAGATCCGAAGGAGTCAGAGGATTAGTTCAACTAGAACTGTCCTACAAAACTACAACAATTAGCCTTCGAAGATACCTGGAAACTACAGAAGACTGGATGATGATATATGTCAAAGAAAATGAAAATAGTAAGCGTCTTTATTCCGTAATAAAAGAAGTCAACAAATTCAAAATGGAATTTCAAATGGATTCAGCAATACAAGTAAATCAATACACCGACTGAAGCTGCAAAATACATAAAAAAAAAGAAAGCAAAAACAAATGCAACCGACCAGATACAGAAACAATGGCAAGATAAACCGCTTCGTGGCTAATACTCGGCCCGTACCAAACAAACTGATGTAGACAGGCTCCGTGCCACCAGTGGCTACGTAGTGCAGGGTTAAAAGCTGAAACGGAAGGTTTTATCCTTGCTGCACAGGATCAGCGCTTGTTAACTAAAAATTATCAAGCACACATACTAAAATATAATGTTATCCCAAAATCCAGGTTCTGTGATAATTACCCAGAAACAATTGACCATCTTGTATCAGGTTGTACGGTATTGGCACCCACTGAATATAAAATCCGGCATGACAGAGTTGGCCAATATCTGCACTGGAAAATCGGCAACGTCTACGGAAAGGAAACTGAAAGAAACTGGTATGAACACCACCCAGACCCGGTTACGGAGATAGGACCTGTAACAATTTTATGGGACTACACAATACACACTGACAGAACAATCAAAGCTAACCACCCAGACATTGTTATCAGAGACCGCAAACTTAAAAAGTGTCTCTTTATTGTGGACTGCAATGTATCTTTGAAGATCTTCAAAAAGCTATCAAAATACAAGGACCTTGAAATGGAAATCTCAAAAATGTGGCACATGGGAACATCAGCTATTCCTGATGTAGTTGGAGCCCTCGGATTGCCAATCTGGTGCGGTGCTTATTTCTGTGAAGTCGGAATACCAAAGAATAGTCGCAAATATTCGAAAATATGTACAGAAAAGGCATAAGGGAAGTGATTGAAGCCGAGATGCCAAGTCAGGACCGATATCATTACAGATTTCTCTTTGGATTGTATCAAGAATCTCTAAATACATAGCAGAATCATCATACCAGATGTGACAGCAATATTCAAAGCATGAACGAATGGTAGACTTATGAATGGGTAAGAGAGATACGTGGAACTAGATACGATCCATCGCTGAAGATGCAGGTAAAATGATCGGCTCCCTGTATCGCTTTAGTAAGTACTTGACTCCTTGTGTTATCCTCTACCTTTTATAAGAGCCAGACCAGCCCGAAAATGGAGCACTGTTACCACATTTGGGCGAGAGCTGCCCTGTCCTCACTTTCCTGTCTTGATAGAGTTCAAAAGCGTCTCCGAGTCCTTACTGGAGAAGAATTATTTCCCAACCTCCAACCTCTCTCTCTCATAGGCGGGATATGGCGAGTCTCTCACTGCTCTATCGCTACTACCAAGGAAAGTGCTCGGACGGACTACACCCCTTGATTCTACCAGGTCTAACTTTCATGGCAAGGACTCTCCATGCCACTTACATAGTAGCAATTCACCCACATTTCCTCCGTATTCCATCGGCGAAAAGTAAGTTTCCCGCGAACCACTGCCCTCTGGAACAGACTCCTAAGAGGATATTTCCCCCATCACTACAATCTTAACCTGTTCAAGTCTAGAGTTAAACGTTATCGTCTCCTCCTATCCATATAAACTATCCCTTTACGTAACCCTCTACCTCGAGTCGCCTCCGGGCCTTGTACATGGTCAACCTTACTATAAAAAAATAATAAATGATACTTTTGTGATAAAGGGTTTTCGACAATACGCAACATGAAAACAAATACCGAGTACGTCACCATGATACTCGAGAGTCACTCAAGGAAGAGGTTTATTGAGTAAGCTGTGCGATATGAATATAAGGGTAGGTAATAGGAAGTAAAGATTATAGGGATAAGGAGGATAGATAATGATTGATTGTTGACTTGATGGCATCAAGATTGTTCAAGGAAGCATCCGCGCAGGAGTCTGTCCCATAAAGTAGCAGATTTTGGGGAAAAGATGTCTAAGAAGCTTTTCCGCCTAACACACATCGAGAGTTTACTTTACCCCCCAAAAAAAACTATATACCCATCTCGTTAGTTTTATTGTTAAAATCCTTTTCATGGCAATTGTTCTGATGGAAATTCTTCTATGGACATTCTTCTATTGGCGACAAAGTCCCATCATTTTACAGCTGAAATGACTAGATGCAACCGTAAGTTCTATGCTAACAGTTTCTTCTCCTGCACTTCTTCCTTGTGGAATTCTCTTCCGGCTTCTTGCTCCCCAGTCAACTTTGATCTTTAAAAAGTCAATGTCAATCGTAATCTTCTGTCTTCTTAATTCTTTTATTCTTTCCGCTTAATAGCATTATCTCGTAGTAATCTTTTTTTTCGCACAGTAACCCCTTGTGTCTTAGTTGCTTTATTGCCTTGCTTGGGGTGAAATGATTAAAAGAAATTAGTATTCCAACTAGGGAACTAAGTAGGATATATATATATATATATATATATATATATATATATATATATATATATATATATATCATATTTTTTGTTTAAAAATATGGTTCTTTCGCTACATAAGAGTTCTCATGTTTCAAAAACGAGAGCCGAAAACATCCAAATAATTATTAAAATTAAGTTGAATTGAGGTGTTTAGTCCCGTTTCATCTTCAAGCGAAATTTTAGGAATAAGCTATCTCTTGGTTTACGTGGGTTTTTAGGCATGGTCCGTTATAACATTCGTTATTGCGGGAGTGGCTATGCTAGTTTTCTTCGTTAAGTGGTC